TTTTTTTTTTTTTTTTTCCATATTTTAGTGTGAATTACATGGTATTTTACATGGGAGCACTTTAGTTTTACATTCAGTCCATCGTATATCATCTCATTGCCGTGGTTCCAATCCCCTCCATGCATCATCAACCGACCAAAGGGTATACCCTATAAACCCGCTCCCTACACTCCTCATTCCCCCAGCCCCCCATTCTTCAGGAACCCGGTCCCTCTCCCTCTCTGGATCCAAAGTCCCAAGCCGCTTCATCACTCCATGTCATCATCTCTGCCTCCATCTTGGGCCTCACTGTTTCTCTGGGTAGGGTCCTGCTCTCGGCTCTTCTCCATTGATGGTCCCAGAGACCTCCGCTCCTAGACTGGAGAGTTAATGACTCCCTTCCTTGCTACCAAATGTCTACCTTTACATTTCCAACCCTCACAATCAGTCCTGATAAAAAATCATTCACTATTGTATCACAAGTGGCCCTTCTGCATTTCATTTCATCAGCTCCCCCTAGACAGATTGGATAGGTCTCACTGGAGATTCTGCCTTCCTCCATGCCTCCTAGCTCTAGGTTCCCTCTTAAAAGCTTGTAAGCCAGTTACTTCTTGCCTTTGTGTCCTCACCCCCACCCCCATTTGGGTATCCAATGTCTAAGTTGCCCTTCTCTGTCTACTCTGTGTATGGAGAGGGTGGGAATGGTTCTTGCTGTGAGGGTTTGTTCCCTCTTTGGGGTTACTGCATCCATAGGTGTAGATCAAGTTCATCAAATTGTCTCAGATCACTCTTTCTTTTTTTTTTTTTTTTCCTCTTCTTTCTTCTCCTGGTTAAGTTCTGATCATCCATTCATCGGGACCAGGTCACATGGGTACCATCTACAAGTGTGGGTGTTCTTGTGCGTATGCTCTCTCTTTCCATCAGCTGGTATCTTCACTTGCCACTCTAGTCCTCTGTGGCCACGCTGCTGACTCTGGGGCCAGGAGTCAGTCCCCAGGTCTCCCCATACTGCTGGTCAACCAGGTCTCCATCTGGGTCCACAGAAGCCCACTGAACTTTGTAGGGCTTAATTTGCCGCTTCATTGCTGCTTTTACGCCACTTTTCCCTACAGGAAATGTGTATGGTTACCAATCAGGGCGCGTATTTCCGTTGAGTCTTAGTCTTGGAAGGGGGTTTGCATTAAGGGGACCTGACTACTTGCCTTGATGTTTCCTGGGCAAGCAATTTGTTCTTGTAGTAAAAGTCTACCTGCCTCTATTGTTTTGTATTTTTCCTGTAGGTGTTTCTTTCAAGAAGTATCTTCTGTTCTTCTAGTCACTCCAGGCTGGTTTGCTCGTCCTTTCAAGTGGGAATTTCCCATCTCTGGAGATCTGGATGTGGTTCAGGCTTCTACCTATAGTCTTATGTATTGCAAAGGCTCCGCAGGAAGCCTTCTTCACTGGGTACTTTGTATCCCCATTTTAGGTATTCCAATCAGTTATAGGCAGAAGACGGACTTAC